AGGCACCAGAACTGGAACTCCAAACTCAGCAACACCGACCACGAGTTCGAGACTATGGCCATTCAATTACCTGATCGCATGAGTGAATGTTTTTATTAAAGGCAGCGTAAGGGCGGCTATTGGCGATGGACTTCGTAATTTTGAACCTCAATAAAAGGACGAGATTATGTGCCCTGAAGTCTTCAGTGGCATTAGGGCTCGAGCTCATGACACGCCGATTCCCAGTTCGTGACCCTGACCATTAGACTACGTGGTTACCCACTATAGTTGCAATGGAATAGTTAAAGAATATGTTATCAAAAGTACTTATCAAAAATGCGAATAAAATATTCTTCATAAAATTCAAGAGCATTATTCCAATGCAGAATAAATATGAAATGTTACAGAAAGCGCGTCCTATTAAATCCATCACAACATATTCAGATAATTTAAACATAACATAACGTAACGTAAAAGACTTCTTTCAAAGCGTATAATATTCCTGATAAGGTTTAAACAGTATTCTCATGAAGTACACACTCTATTGAAGTAAAATTTTCTAAACCTCACCGAAAAGGAATTTATAAATTTTACAAACTCCGCGCTCCTTCCCATTCATTCATCCCTCAAGGAAGGGGGGCAAATTCCCGAAACGCATTCTACAATTTCATCAAATAAACGAGCATTGATATGAATACACTCCGAGATTACCTGCCCTAACTAATGCGCTTAAGGGTCAAATTCGGTATTCAGCTGCTTCTCAGACCGGGGGACAATCACTTCCCACTTTGGCACTCTGACTAGCTAATAATATTTGAGTCGCATTATCCATCCAAACATTGCGAGGGCTTCTAGTTTACAGCAATCAATGATACACTAAAACCCCTTTGGGATCAGTACGAAAGGAGAAACGCGAAGTATTTCGAGTTAATAAGGGCGAGCTTATTAATTTCGATTCATAATGTTCTTCGTTCTTTTTTTTTAAAAAACTCTTTTTTTTTTTTAGTTTTAGAAATTCTTTTACTATGTCCCAGAATGGGCTAAATTCATGACAGTCACGATATACATTCATTCACGTGTTCATCTCTGAATTCCACACTTTTTTAAATTTCTAATAGGGCTACGGATTGGTGTTTTACCATTGCAGACCCAGTACATTCCCCGGGAGATGGTATCTCTTTTTAGTGCGGTGCCATATCGGTGAAATACCAGTCGCCGCTAGTAAATTTGACGCCCTTAGCGATGCTGACTGCTGTGCTGTAGAGCCTGGGTTTGAATTCCGTTGAAGGCAAGGATGTTTGTAAATATATAGTGCCTTCACGGCATGGGGGTACTCTAAGCAGCCGTTGAGCCGCAAGTTCTCTCGTGAGGTTGGTGGCAGGCAATGAGAGGTGGGAGACCCCGGACACACCTCCAGGGTGTTCTCCCTTAAATTGGGGTGGAACCGAGCTAAATCATTCTGTCACCTGTACGATGCTCAAGGCTACGGCCAACGACAGGCGTACATCTAGCCCCTTGCCATGATGAATTTCGTAGGCCTCGATCTGACTACGTCAGACAGGTAGCATTAGCAACAAAAACAACAAATTTGACACCCAGTTTCATCCCCAGAGGGAGACACCTGAGTTCTGACGATGCGAATCTATGCTTAGAAATCTTGCAATCTTGCTGAGAGAACCCAAACTATAGAGGTATTCCAGGGATCTTTTACGTGCCGCATAATCATGCGACATGGAAGCTGTTTATTTTCAATATCATGAAAATCCACCGACTTGGGCTGGGTTCGAACCCTCAAATGTAAGCGTACAAGGCCAACGACTAACTAATTACGCCACCCAGCCAACTGTGAATTCCAAACTATGACATTAGACTTGTAAAATTGAGATAAAATTTAGAATTTCATAATTGTTTTAAAATGTTCAAATATTAAGATTTTTCATAATTTTTTCAAAATTAAAAAAATAAATAAATTTTTATACTTTAAGTGTACTTTTAAATCAAGCTCCTTTTCTTACCAGTGTGCATTGTCATTGTTGACAAATTTATATTTTTAAAAGAGTTTCTGCATGAAACAGAGGTTGGCAACAGCAAAGCGCTTGAATTGATTGGCTGGTAACAAGCGAGGGCATATATCACGTGTCTATAACGTCACATAAATGTATGAATTAATTAGCTGGAAACAAGTGATGGTAGTTATAATGGGACTGTTACGTCACTAGAATTTAAGTTATTTATGTCGGTTCATAATAATAGTTACATATTATTCATTATTTTCTTTTGCAAAGTGTTTTCTGTAAAATTTATCTGAAACGGTGACATTATTTTTGTTATTCATCTGTTGGTGGCTGAATAAACAATAAATTCATACAACTTTAAATGAAATATTCAATTTATTTAATAAGTACTCATTTTAAGTACTCATTCAAGAAAGAATTATTTATTCAGGGGTAAAGAGAGGCATTTCCTAGATTTATAAAACTAACAGAAAGTTTTTAGAATTCAACAATATTTTAAACTGAAATATTGGGAAAAAATGTAACTCAGCTTGGTATTTCTGGAATTCTTAATTAGAATCTGTTTTCCACAATAATAAGGGATAAATTTCTTCGAAACATCAGAAATTGCATATAGTTAAGAGAAGACGTATATCTAATTTTATGAAAAAATTATAATGTGAATAATTTAACAATTGAATTTATTTAAACTTTTATAGTTATTTTTCTTAATTCATTCTTTTTCTGTTCCATTTGCATAATAAAATATTATGACTGAGTATGCACAAAAGTTGAATATGTGCATGGAGTATCCCAGATAATTACTATTTTTTTAGAATCAATAAGGAAATTAAATGTCTGCATCATCATTTATTGTTTTGAATTATTTTGTACTCATGTTAAAATTTCATTGAGAATCTAAGAGCAACAAAAATTAAGAATTCAATGTCTGCTACACATACTAAAGAAGTAATGTATCATGTAAAATTAAAAATTTGTTTATAAATTTATATTAAAATTTTTATATACTTTATTATAGTGATTAAGTTAGAAGAATTTGTAGATGTTTGAAGGGAAAAATGTGCACATAAGAAAAAAGAATTTCAGAACAAATTCACTTTTTTTTTAATTAAAGTAACCATTGCCCAAATAAGAGAATAAGCTATATAAAATGTGATAGTTCAATGACTTGGTTTAACACAATACTAAAATTCATAACATATATGACTAATTTATCATGTCTTCAGTAAATCTTACAAAAGTTTTCCTAGAAATTCCAAAGTGACATGTATTCTATTATAGCTCCTATTTTAGAATAAATGTATAAAATACAAAAGCTTTAGCCGTCTAACAATATTAGTAATGCAAAATTAATTTAATCTCTTAAGAAAAAAAGAGTATAACTGATAAAAGTCAATAAACAAATTAAATTAGAATCGAAATTCAAAAATCTGTACGTGTAAAAGCAGGAATTATTAAATTATAATATGAAATTAGTTGCATATATATATAAGGACGGAAACTCCTTAATATAACTTCATTAAAACTATAATTTAAATCAATTGTTTTAAAAAAATGATAGAAAGAATTTATATTTTGAAAACATTACTTTTAAAACAAAAAGGTAATGCAGAATATAATAAGTTGATTATTTACTCTTCTTTACAAAATGATGAGAGCAAATTTAATTGTACTTTATTTACTACAAGTTAAAAAGATTTAACTATTCATTTCACAAAAATAATAGTAATATCAATCAAATTAGATTAATGAAAACATAAAAATACAAAGTGATGAATTATGAAAATATATTCAGAGTAATCAATATATATTTCACATATTCTCTTCACATATTTCCCTTACCAAAAATTTATCTTAACTGCCCAGAATATTAAATAATAATTTCCCTTGACAACGTTCGGAATCGTGATTTCCCAAAAATGTACAATTGAATAATTTTTTGATTCTTAGTGTCAGTTGAATTAGACTATGCATATAAAATAGTTTTAAGAACAATATTACACGAAAAAATTATTTAAAAGCAGTTTTTTTTGGGAGGAGGGGGTGAAGAAAGAATGACACATATTTTCAAAATATTCTCCTTTTATAAAAAACCTTTTTATAGTAATAACATTTTACTTCTTTATAGCTAAGATTTCTCTGAATAACCTGAAATAGGACTCTTTTGAGATTTATAATTTAGGAGTAGGTTTATTCACATTTTAATAAATCATAATAAAGAAGTTTTAACAAAAAACACCGGTTATTATTTTAATTGATAGTAATTCTGAAAATATTGTGAATGTTTCAAAACGTTTAGTTCAATCACTATAGAGAAATATTAGAATGTATATAGGCAAAATATCATTATTATAGAAAAGTTTTTCATTAAAGGAAAATGTATTAAAAAATTCATTAAATTTAAATAATTTTTTCGTGCAATATTATTATTAAAACAATTATATATGTACATATATATTTTCTAATTTAATCGACAATGAATATCAAAAAACTATTCATTTACACGCTTTTGTAAAATCACGGGTCTGAACATAGTCAATCCCCTTGAATAATTCATTGAACTTTTTATGCAAAAAATAAATTTTAAGCCAATAATACACAACATTTTTTTAATTCCAACTATTAGTTCACACTCTCCTTATATATATATATATATATATAT